AAAGGGAATTGAAGGTGAGAAAATGGAGATACCCAATTCTTTACTAAAGGGAAGGGATTACAGGTGGATTTTGGGCCTAGGAAAGTGTTGTTCTCACCCCTAAAAACCTAAAATCATGATTGTTTGCTTGTAGAATGTTCAAGAAGAAAGGAATTAACTGATAATTATAGCAAAGATAAAGTGAAGTTCTTGAGAAGATAAGAAGATGAAAAGGGATCCAGAGCTCAGGGAGAGGGTCTATAGGAGCAGAGACTCCTCCATTGTAACTAGTGGGAAGGTAACAGGTAGGTACAAGTGTAGGTGAGTCCGTAGATTTGCTGCTGGGAAGAAAAGATGAGTCTCGAGTGACTTCAGTATTCTCATTGTTACTAGATGTTGAGAGATGGGGAGAATAAGAAGGTGAAATTTAAGAAGAAAAAGGTGGGAAATGGGCTTTCAGAGAACCAGGCAACAGACTTACTAGGTAGACACTTAGTAATTGCTGGACAGTATTAAGTGTCCATTTGAGATTTATGTTTTTGAATTTAAAGTTAAATTAGAGACATCACACTTTTGTATTTTTCTTTAGGCTTTTCCAGCTGTTCTGGTGACTTTACAAACTTTTAATGTAAATACTCAACATTTTTTAGTAAAAATTTAATAATAAAATTTTTCTATTAATCAATGCTAAATATATTAGAATAAAGAAACAATTCTTCAAATTAAGTGTTGGGAATCCATCTTTGCAACTGGATGCCATGGAATCCATGCAAAGGATTTGCAACAGGGTACCCTTGATTTTGTAAGCTGTAATTCTCTTTAGGCTTTTTTGACTCTTAAGTCAAATTTCATTTACTTTCTTCTGTACTTTACCTCCACGATAGGGATTAGAAATCTTAAACATACGCTATACAATTAGAATTATTAAAAATGAGCTTATATCTGAAGCTTAGCAAGTACTTAAATGTATGTGTGTCTTGAGTTATAAAATGAAAACCAGTTAGTTAATTACCATTTAACTAGGAATGTTTATTATGCTGTCCAGAATTTTATAAAATAAATTTCTTATAATATAGCTATATTATTTTATGAAAGCCTTAGCCCTTTAAAATGTTGGTATTAACCTGAACATTTAATATTCTGTGCTGTTTTTAATGGATACTCAAATTGCTGATTTTATTAGCTAAAGGAAACCACTCGGATTTGTAAAATCAGAGTAGTTAGTGTTTTCAGGGATTTAATTTGATTTGTCTGCCTTTCATTTTCTTCATTTCTCAGGAAATTCTACGATGCATGATTATATAATAGCGTATTTTAAAACTTTTTAATGAACATTTCTTTAAGATACCCAATAGTATTAGTTTATTGGTATATCTTAATACTTTTAATATTGCTATTCCAGTAATGTTATTAAATTTAGTTTCTGTTATTGAAGAATAGAGATCTTTAATCATGAAGCATAAATCATAAAGGGAGCAACAGTCTATTTATCTGAAGCTTTGAAGTATAGCCTGTAATTAAGAGAATATCATGTGGGTGGTCTTCTAGGATTTTCACTGGAGGTAGGTTGTGCAGATACCTGATGGGGCATTTTTGGCTTCCTGTTACAGCAGCAGCATTCATTTCCTCCAAACTGTGCTGAAATTGCTCAAAAGGAAAGAACAGATTGGCAATTTCCCTTCCCAGGTGAAATACTTGTGACGTTGGTAGTAGTGGTGGTAGGGCTTCTGCATCTTCCATCTACTGGGTTACTTTTTTAGACATATTTAGACATAATATATCTTTTTAAGTCTCATAAATTACTGTGTAACATTGTAATGACATTTTGTTGATTTTTGAATTACCAAAATGAAGAAAGGGCCTTGGAGGTCTAAATTTTTGTGAATATGTTACATATGGTATGTGTGTGGTATGGGCATATGTGTATATATATAGGGAGGAAGAAAACAGAGATTGCTGAAATGTTTTCAAGATTTTTTAAGCATCTAAACTTACATTATATACTTACATTCCCTTGGGGATATTTGTTTCTCTTGTTAGCTACACAAAATTAAAGATACTTTTGACCCTAGTGTTCAGAATCTCTCTTTTTTTTTTTTTTTTAAAGATCAAAATTCCTTTTGTTATACTGTCAAGCCAACTCTGGCCCAGCACATGGCTGCTCTTCTAGCCTGATAAGTTTTGTGTTAAATGGTGAATGAACTTTATGTAACATGTTGAAAGCATATGCTACACAGCACTTATTTTCTGTTTCTGTAACTGTGTTGTAATGAGTCATGAAAGACAAATGTTTAAGCAAAATATGTAGCCAAGAATTGTTTATATATAGTAAAAGTATTAATGACATTTTTGTTTATTGATTCAGAATTATTTCTTAGTTTCCTTCTTTGAATTTAAAAAACTCATAAATTAATGTTTATTTCTTATACTGAATCATTTTCACCAATGTATTTGAGTTTTATGTTATGTATCTGAGTACAGAGCCTTTTTTTTTTTTTTGCGGTACGTGGGCCTCTCACTGTTGTGGCCTCTCCCGTTGTGGAGCACAGGCTCCGGACAAGCAGGCTCAGCGGCCATGGCTCACAGGCCCAGCCGCTCCGTGGCATGTGGGATCTTCCCAGACCAGGGCACAAATCCGTGTCCCCTGCATCGGCAGGCAGACTCTCAACCACTGCGCCACCAGGGAAGCCCACAGAGTCATTTTGATGGCTGTATAATAGGAAACAGAAATGTATTTAGAAATAACAGACATTTCCAAGGACTGTTCTGGGCTTAATCTCTAAATTATTCAACTTTTAAAAGATTATTTTTCAAGGATTTATTATTACATTTGCAACACAGAGAGAGAACCTATGATGTGTCAAGCACTTGTTACAGGAAGTGAGGCTACAATGATGAGAGACAACATTGTATGCCCTTGAGAAGTTCCCAGTCTAGGAGAAGACAGATGAGTCACTGGAAGAGTTACAGTACAGTGTGGCAAGTACTCTCATAAAGGTGTGAAGAGAGATGTGCTGCTTAGGAATTTTTAGTTTGATTTTGTATTTTAAAACCATTTGAGGCTTAATTTTTCATTGGACCTAATTATTGTGCATGAAAAGAAAGCATCTACTATATCTTTATGTATTAGACATTAAAAATTTAACAGGGGGTTCCCTGGTGGCGCAGTGGTTGAGAGTCCACCTGCCGATGCAGGGGACACGGGTTCGTGCCCCGGTCCGGGAAGATCCCACATGCCATGCAGCGGCTGGGCCCGTGAGCCATGGCCGCTGAGCCTGAGCGTCTGGAGCCTGTGCTCCACAACGGGAGAGGCCACAACAGTGAGACGCCCGCGTATCGCAAAAAAATAAAAAAATAAAAAAAAATAAAAAAAATAAAATTTAACAAAATAAGCACATTTTGTTATGCTAATTTCTCTGATTTTATGAGACTAAATCTTATAAATGTGTTATTCTGAAGTGTAGTTTAGGATCTGAAATTAAAGAAACATTTATGAATTTAGCTATACAAAGAGATACTGTTTCTTTGTATTTAAAATGTGTTGATTCTTATATGTGGGCATTATCTGCATCTCTTTCATAAATATTTTTATCCCTCAAGTTAAATTTGCACATTAGAATGAATAGAATTCTAATTAGAGTTGTTCTTCAAGTTGAAATACATAAATTGTTGTATAACATTATTTCTCATCTTAAAACCCAAACTAAAATTAAACTTTGCCAAGACTATATTTAACCTCTTTTTGATATAGTAAAAGGTATATATATACCAGTATATACCAATATAATTTATTTATAAATGGTCATTGCAGCCTTGAAATACCTGTTTTTCTTATATGTTATAATTATTAATATTTCTCAATTTGGTCTTTGTGTCCAGATTTTTGGTGTTTTGACTCTTCTGTAAGTGTTTTCTTTAATCTGTATGTTGTGAAATTTAACAATCTGTTTATCTTTGGCTTCAAGGTTTTGCATAATGTTTAAAATGACACTGAGATTTTTGTAAAAATGTCTCTCCTGATTCTTCTAGTACTTTTTTTGTTTAGTGGTGTTGAGGATGGACATGCATTTTTTAAAAGTAGATCTGGAATTTATTTAATGCTAAATAATGACATAGAGATTTAACTCCCTCCCTCCAGGTGGATACCCAGTTGTCTCAATATCATTTATCTAGTGATCCTTTTCCATAGTTTTGAAATACTTCTTTCATCTTTCTTATTTTATTTATTGATTTCTCTGTCCCTGTTTCTGTGAGCTTATTTTCTAGTGGGAGAATGACTAACAGTAAACAAATAAGAAAATGATAAGTAAAAGTAAGTTCTGTAATGAAAACAAGAAGAATGACATATAGTCAGTGACTGGTGATCTACTTAAAATGAGTGGTCAAGACAGGCTTCCCTGAAAGAAGTGACATTTACTCTGAAAACCAAGGAAGGAGGCTGTGCAAAACTCTGGTGAAAGTACATTTCAGATAGAGGAAATGCCCCAAGGTGAATGACCTCCATGTGCTCCAAGAGAAGAAAGAATAGTAGGAGTATAGTAAATGAGGGATGGGGGAAGAGTGGTGAGGAACATAGGAAGAGTTGGAAAAGAGAGCTGAGGGGAAAGCATGTATTATGTAGAGATTTGTAGGCCGGGCTGAGCACTTGGGTTTTATTTTAACTGTGAAGGGAAACTACTCAAGATCAGGGCTTAAAGATTCAGATTGTCTAGGCTGAGTTTTTCTTATTTTTCTCCTGCAAAAGAGGAAATATAGGAACATGGATAGTATGTATATCAAATAAATAGGTTATTATGTAATTAGGAGCTATTTCTATATACATATGACTCTGTAACAAATTTGCTTCCCTTTTAAATAATTTTACATTTTAAAGAAAACAGATTTTTAGAATCATCTAAGTACCAAGAATTTAGAACTCAAAGAATAAAGTATCTACTTACACTAAATAGAACTCTTTAAAGAAAAAATTATGATGTGTTTTAAAAGTAATATTTTTTCTTCCATTAAAATGTTTGTATTAGGGAACAGACATCCTTGGAAGAAGGAGAAATTCCTTGGTTACAGTACAATGAAGTCAATGAAAGCAGCAGTGATGAAGGAAATGAGCCTGCCAACGAATTTGCACAGCCAGAAGCTTTCATGTTGGATGGTAACAATAACCTTGAGGATGACTCCAGTGTGAGTGAAGACTTGGATGTGGACTGGAGGTATGTAGCACAGTGTGATTACCATCCTTAACTGATCATTGAGTAGAATTTGTTTTTGATTCTGAATTATGAAAACTGAATCTCTGATAATCAGCTAAGAAATAGCTCAATTTTCTCATCTGTCAGTCTTCCTCTCTCTCAAAGCTCATTTCAGGTGTCACTTCATACGTGAACTTCTTTCTTACTCCAGTCATGACCTCTTCCTTCTTTGACCGTTAGCTCTGTGGAAGCTCACTTTATATCCTAGTTATTTATACACTTAATGGTTTGAGGTTTCCGACTTTTAAATTTGGCTTTTTTAAAAAAAATTTTTTATACAACAAATGCATGTCATGTATCCCAATCTCCTTAATATAACACTTAGTATAATCCTTTAAAAATAAAAAGTCCATGATGAATACTACCTGAAGAATTTCAAAACCTGTGATTGAATCATAAGACTATAGTTTTCCTTCTCCATATGCAAAATATGGAAAATATAATTGTACCTTCTCAGAGATGTTGAATGTATTAAATTTACTTTATGCTGGAAAAGAACAGTGAGCTTCAAATAAAAGTAACATATAAATTAAATGGATTATAGAATTGTTATGGCTCATGATATAATGATCAGAATTTAACTGTTTTGGTTTATAAACTTAGACTTATTTTTCAAGTGTGCAGTAACCCTCTGGAAGCAGCTAGTTATTGAGATGTAGAGGGAATGTTTCAACTAATCCCTTTTTGTTACTTTTTCTGGAAAAATCATGACTTGGTACTACCCTCATTTTCATCTCTGCACAGATATATTTTTAAGAATTTGTCTCGTTTTTCCAGTTAAAATTCCATTACAGAAAATTTAGAAAAATAAAGGTAACAAAAACTCATTCATACCCCTGGTAACCCTGCAAGTTTCTAGAACTTGTTTTTAAGGCCTGCTTTGTGTCTTCAGTTTCTCTTTCTGAGTGTTTAGTTACTTCTTTGTACTTCTCCAAATTGTTCCAGACCTGAAACTCATCATCTCCATGAATTCCTCCTTACTGTTTCCTTTTCTCACTCCCCAGGGGAAGAAAAAAATTATATGTTCAGAGCAGGCTCTTATTGACCATGTTGTGGAAGTAGAAGGGGTTTCTCCTGTGGGGTTTCCTCACAGCCACACAAACAATTTGTAATTCCATCCTAAATATTCTCCTCCAAAACCTATTTTCTGTCTTCCCAAACACTGTGGAAAATCAGTGGCTTCACCTAGTCCTAGTCTTGGTGATCTTGACACCCCCTTCACTTCTTCGCTCTTTTATGTCTGCCCATTCCCCTGTTACTGAACTCCTTGTTAATTCTGATGTCTTCTCTGATGACATTATACAAAGTCATTACAGGGCTCAGCAGGTGACAGAATTGCCTATTTAGTGTCATCTGTGTGTGTTGGGAGGCAGTTATGGTTTTATATGAGGAATTCTGTTCTTTTGCCCATTTTTGAAATTTTATGAATATAATTTTTACAGCTCCATTATATAGGTGCTCCATCCTATAGATGCACTAAAATTTAATTATTTCCCCATTGAAATAGTGCAGTAAACTTCCCCCCCATAAAATTTGATCTGTACTTCAGTTTATTTCTTTAGGACAGATTAACAAGAGGTGACATTACTAAGATGTGTGATATTTTTTAAGATCTCGATGTATTGGATATATTTCTAAATAACTTTCAAAACAGGTTTCACATAAAAAAAATTTTTCTCCACTTGTTTTTGCAGTCCATTGGTCCCACCACCTTTTTATTTTTTTTCTTAATTAATTTATTTTATTTTATTTATTCTTGGCTGCATTGGGTCTTCATTGCTGCGCGTGGGCTTTTCTCTAGTTGCGGCAAGCGGGGGCTACTCTTCGTCGTGGTGCGCAGGCTTCTCATTGCAGTGGCTTCTCTAGTTGCAGAGCACGGGCTCTAGGCACGCAGAGAGTGCAGGCTCAGTAGTTGTGGCGCACGGGCTTAGTTGCTCCTCGGCATGTGGGGTCTTCCCGGACCAGGGCTCGAACCCGTGTCCCCTGAATTGGCAGGCGGATTCTTAACCGCTGTGCCACCAGGGAAGCCCTCACATAAAAATTTGAAGGTATAATCAAGGTCTTTATTGAACAAAATTTAGCTTAAATTTAAAAACTTCTAATTCATTGATGATCTTTCTGGATATGGCTGTTGTTGTATTAAGATTTTAGAGACATTGCTGGTTGTTCCAAAATTTGGGGAGCTTCAAAAGTACTTTTTTTTTAATGTGGAAAACAATTTAGCATTGATTTTAAGACAAAATTTTTGAAGGTTACTGTTCTGAATTTTGTCTAGATATGGCAACACCTCCTTATTTGCTTTTGTGGTACTCTATTCAATTTATATGGTAGTAGCTAAATGTTGATAAGGTGAAAATGTGGTTTGATTTTCATATTAAAATAGCATGTCATTTTGACAACTAAAAGGAAAAGCCATGACAAACAGCAGCAATTCTTACCTAAAGCCAAAATTTGAGACACTTTCTTTTGTTTTGCCACTGCTTAGGAAAAAAATTAAATCCCTTTGGTTTTTTTATTTTAGCTTAAAGGAAAATGGAAAAAGTCCTCTATCAAAAGTTTGTTGGTTTATTTGTTTTGATTAAGTCACAGAAATAATGTAGAATAACCAGAGAATATTTCATAGATTGGTGTGATAGGAGTTGATGTGGAGGAAACATAGATTTTGGATTTAGACATATCCCAAATGTACCATTTATTTATTCTTTGATAACAACTTAAGCTTTCTCTTGGCTAGAAATTGGGGTTATAGTTATTATTTTTTAATGATTATTAACCTAATAAGAAATCAGGGTTGTAATAATTAACCTAATAAGATTGTGAGAAATTAATTCTTTGTGGATATTACCATGCTTTAATAATAGAATTTTTAAACTCTTTTGAAATTATTTCAGACTTACAGAAAAATGGCAAAAGTAGTACAGAAAATTCCCATATATCTCTAAGATTCCCTAAATGTTAACATTTACCACATTCATGTTACCATCGTTTCTTTCCTTTCTTTATATTCATATTTTTTTCCTGACGCATTTATGTGTAAGTTGCAAACATGATGCCTCTTTACTCATAAGTAGCCTAGAATAATTTCATAAAAACAAGGATATTTTCTTATATAGCATAATAAAATTGTCAAAATGAGGAAATTAACACTGATACAGTACCATTGTCTAATCTACACACCTATTCAAATGTCTGTAATTGTCCCACGAATGCCATTTTTGGTCCAGTCCAAGACCACCATGTTAGTTAACATGTTTCTTTAGTTTCTTTTAATCTGGAATATTTCCTCAGTCTTCTTTGTCTTTTATAACTTTGACATTTTTAAAAGTACAGGCCATTTATTTTGTAGAATGTCCCTCAGGTTGTTTTTGTGCAATGTCATAATTAGATTCGAGTTACACATTTTTAGCAGGAATACCGTAGAAACAATGTTCTGTTCTTCTCAGTTCATATCAGAAGGCACATGGTGTCGAATTGTCCCATTACTGATGATGTTAATTCTGATCACTTGGTAAAGGTTTTATCTTTCAGATATCAGCACTGTACAGTTGCCATTTTTAGCTTTATGTAAGCGTCTAGTGGGAAGATAACCTGTTTCCTTTCAAACTATCAAGCTTCCAGCTACTAGTTTTAGTGTCCTTGGTGATTGTTGTCTGAGACAGTTATGACCGTGGTGTTTACCAAATGAATGATACTAGAATTTTTAATATTAGCTGCTTATTCTTAAGTTACCAAATTAAAACCAGATACCATGCTCTGAGTGTCTAGATTTGTTTAGCCTAGAGAAGAAAAGAATTATTGGGGGATAGTTGACTCCAATCATTTGAAGGAGTTTTCTGCGAAGGGAAAGTGGGCATAGTTTGTGTTGCTTCAGCAGGCAGAACTAGAGCACTTACTTCACATAAGTTTCAAACTTCTATTAGGGCTCTCCCGTACTGCATGCACCTGCTTAGAAAGCGGTATGTTTTCCGCATGGAGGAAATGGTTCTCCTGTTTCTTGAATGCCTACTCTGGTGCCATCTCTGTGCAAGGCACCTGTGTGCATCTACTCATTTAATTTGTTTTACAGATAAAGAAACAGTTAAATAATATTTTCATACTGTTAAACTATGACTCAGTTAAATGTGACATTAAATTCCTGACTCCAAGACTCTTCCTCTTTGCACTACATTTCACTGATAGATGAATGAGTTCTAGTATTGCAGAGGAGGTTTATTCAGTAATCTTAGTTTTAATTCTAATTCTAAAATCTGTGATTGTATGAAAATGTCTGTTCCTTTGTACCATGTGATGTCTGCTGATTTCTAGATACTACGAAGCTTTAATATATTCTTCATAGGAGTACTTCTGTATCTCTGGGCAATAGATTTGTAATTTTAATGGTGGCAGAAAGATCGATATCATAACTGTTTTGAGCTAGCACGTGTAACTGGATTTTTCTGACTATGATATTCAGTTTCTGATAGAAATGCGGAAGTCAACAGAAGTTTTCCTTTAGGTAGACAAAATAAGCTCAGTTTTGGAGATCTTGGATTTGAGGTGGTAGGAGTTCATTGAGGTAAAGTGCCCCACAGAAAACTAAAAATGTAGGTCAAGAACTCAAGAGGGATTTTGGAATTAGAGGTTTAGGGATTATCTGTAGGAAGGATAATTGAAGGGGTGGACTTGAATGTAATTGCCAAGGGAAGAAGATTTAGAAAGAACAGGACTGAGGATATACTTAACATTTTCTGAATCTTGAAATACTTAGTATTTCTAAGACTAGAGAAAAAGGAGGAATCCATGTATATGTAGGCATGGAGGAAGCAGATAAGGACAAGATTAAGACATAATATTTTTCTTCAAGGGGCTTACAACCCTTCAGAAAAAAATAATAATAATAAAAATGAGCAGTTAGGAGCTAAATCTTTTTCAAGCTGAATAATAAGGGAGGAGCCCTAGTTTTTAGAAGAGAGATTAATGAGATAAACTTGAGAAAATAAAATTTTCTTAAGCCCGAAGTAATTAAGCAGTACAAGGTAAGAGAAGAAAAAGAGGCTTTGACCAATGATAGAATTAAAATAAATGCAGTATTCTTAACATGTTCTCACCGAAATTTAGATTGGAAACTAAAATAAAGGGGAAAGATATGGTAAAGAATTAGGAGGGGAAAAGTACTACCTTTATCCCAGCCATAAACAGTTCCCAGAGCTAGAACTAGAAACAATTTTCTTACAAACTTTGTGCAGTGAGTGTGGCAGCCTATTGGGACTGGGAATGGTATCTTACCTCCTTATGCTTAGCGTTTAACTCTTCTGTTGGGTTCTTCCTGCCCCTCACCCCACGAGATTTATATTAAAATATTTTAAGGTTTTCTGCTTGTAGCATCTTTATTGGCTTGTCAGTATGCTAATATAATTATGTCTTCACTATAAAGGTTTCCCAAATCACGGTTGTACTTTTTTTTCCAGCCTGTTTGACGGCTTTGCAGATGGACTAGGAGTTGCTGAAGCTATTTCTTATGTGGACCCTCAGTTCCTCACTTACATGGCACTAGAAGAACGCTTAGCCCAGGCTATGGAGGTATTTTAGTGCTTATTTTAGTGCTCTGGTACCCATATATAGGTTGGTGGGATGCCAAGTGATAACAATTAAGGTTTCTTTAACTGCTTTTAAGAAAAGGTGAATAATTTTCTTGTCAATTTAATAACAATTACTGAATAGTGATTCAGTATGTGTATAGAAATTGTACTTGACATCCTGCCAATTTGCCTAAAATTACAATATTTTCCAGTTTTTAACTACAGAATGTAAAGTGTTTGTTTTGCTTGCATTTAGAAAATGTTCTTCCTCTATAGAATTACTGTATACAGGTCTGTGAATCTGAATATTTTATACACACACACACAGGTATATTTGTTAACTGCAATTAAAGATCTCTAAAGATATATTACAAATCACTTCCCTTTTTTGGTTCTTAAGGCTTCTAAATCTATCTAGCTGCTTAATGTAGTTAGAAAAGTTATTCCCTCTCATCCCCACACACATACACAGGTTAATAAATGTGGCACATTTGGTGCCTGTTTGTCTTGCCTTCTTTGCTTTATTTGACCAAAACACAAAAACTTGTTCATAATTGTATTTGCCTATGGTCAAAAGCCCAAGCATTTTCATGTTTGGGAACTTCCACTGCACTAGTGGATTTTGTTGTAAGAAGTCTTTCTTTAAATCACTATTTCCACAGTTATTTCCAAAGTAGATGAACAGTAATAACGTGAATGAGTCAAAAGTGAGAGAACAAAAATGAAAGAGGGAACTTTCAGGACCACTGTAATACCATTTTATCTTGAAATGTTGTGAGATTAGAAAGCCCAGTCCTGGTGGCGCAGTGGTTGAGAGTCCGCCTGCTGATGCAGGGGACACAGGTTTGTGCCCCGGTCCGGGAAGATCCCACATGCCGCGGAGCGGCTGGACCCGTGAGCCATGGCCGCTGAGCCTGCACGTCCAGAGCCTGTGCTCCGCAACGGGAGAGGCCACAACAGTGAGAGGCCTGCGTACCGCAAAAAAAAAAAAAAAAAAGAAAGCCCAGTTTAGATTTATAAATTAGGTATTAGGTAGATAGAGAGATCCAGACCTATTTATCTACATACACATACGCATGCACAGGTACACACACAAGTTAGCTCTGCATTGGCATCACTTTTTTAAGTGTGTGTAATCTTCCATGGAGATCATTGCTGTCAGTTATGCATTATAGTGTATGTTTTTCTCAAAGTGACCATAGCAGAAATACTGTGTATCATGGTGATCATTTTGAAATGTATAGAAATATCAAATCACTATGTAGTGTAACGAACTAATACAGTGTGGTAGGTCAATTATACTTCAAAAACACTCAGGAAAAGAATCAGATTTGTGGTTACTAGAGGCGGGGGGTTGGGGGGAGGGAGAATTGGATGAAGGTAGTCAAAAGGCATAAATTTTCAGTTATAAGATAAATAAGTACTAGGGATGTAATGTGCAACATGATAAATACAATTAACACTGCTGTATATTATACATGAAAATTGTTGAGAGAGTAAATCCTAAGAGTTCTCATCACAAGGAAATAACTTTTTTTCTATTTCTTTAATTTTGCATCTATATTGAGATGATGGGTGCTCACTAAACTTATTGGGATAATCATTTCAAGGTGTATGTAAGTCACATCATTATGCTATATATGTTAAACTTACATGGTGCTGTATGTCAACTATATCTCAATAAAACTGGGAGAAGAAAAAGAAAAATACTATGTACTAGAAGAAAAGTCAGAATATCATGAGACAGGATAATACACTTAGGACTTTTCCCAGATTATATAACTTGCCTTGCCAAATTCTGACACATGGGAAACTGGCACAGCATGATGACCTGCATCAGGAATAGAATATATAAAGATTAAGGATCACTAACTTCCTTGAGTTAAAGACATTTTAAGTGACCACATGGAATATTCATCAATATTAGAGTCTGGTTTCACAGTCGTTAAATAGTTTGTTTCCATTATTATGCTAGTGGTTTATGATTCCTACAATATGGAGATGTCTTTATAAAGAAGTTTTGAAAATTAAAAGTTTTATTGTTTATTACCTATGGGAACTGTGACATTTGATTGGCATCTTGAAACAAGAGCGAGAGAGACTGGTCATGAGAGGTCATGCTAGGTGAAGGCATTAGCAGAGTGGACAAAGACAAGAGGAAGGAAAGAATGTAGTATGTCCAGGGAACATAGTCTCCACGTTGTTGCCTCCTGCTCTCAGGAACCGAGTGGCACTGCCGCTTTCAGTTGTTCTTACCCATCTATCCTTCTGTTTCAGATTAATAGCATTAAATGTGTCCCCTTCTCCACAGCATAACAGCTTCTTCAGATTTAGTGCTCAGCTTTATTTTATTTGAATCTGATTGAGACATGCTTCTCTTCTAGAGAATCAATACAGTTCCTTCTTCCTATCACTCTCTAGAAATCTTTATTTTTCTAGCGTGCACTTACTTATTCATTTTGAAAAATGAAACTGAAATAATTTATAATTTAGGATTTTTCCTTTTAAATTTAATACTAACATTCTTTAAATAAAGCAAAAACAAGTAATAAGACAAACTGAGTGCTTTGATTTTTTTTTTTTTCTCAGCAGCCTTATCTCTTTCTGTCAGTGGTTGTTTTCATTTCTGTTATTTTTCCAGTACTAGGCTGTTGTTTCTTTTCAGGTAGTAGATACTGGTGAATATATTGGCAATAAACATTTGCCTCATATCTCTGTCTCAGATATGAGGGCAAAATATTTAAGATATTTAACTGTTTGAAAAAATGATTTTAAAGCTTTTTACTCACTCCCAAAGAAATCTTGGGGGAAAAAAAAAGTATTCCTTTGCACATCTTTACGTTGACATCTAAAATTTTTTGGCATAAATCTTAAGTAATATTATTTACCCTATTATATCACTTGTGCAATAAAAATATGTTCAGGAATTTAAATGTAAAAAAAATTGGTTTAGATTGAGTATAAAATTGTTTGTTGTGTCTATTGATCAAAAATGAACTGTTATAAAATTTGATAAATAATTACTTAAACATAAAGTAAAATTTTACTAGAAATGCATCTCTTACTGAGATAGAAGCTTTTTTCCCTTCCTAATTACTTTGTGAGTGATTTTTTTTTTTTTTTTTTTGCGGTACGCGGGCCTCTCACTGTTGTGGCCTCTCCGGTTGCGGGGCACAGGCTCCGGACACGCAGGCTTAGTGGCCATGGCTCACGGGCCTAGCCGCTCTGCAGCATATGGGATCTTCCCGGACCGCGCCATGAACCCATGTCCCCTGCATCGGCAGGCGGACTCTTAACCACTGCGCCACCAGGGAAGCCCTGTGAGTGAATTTTATTCCTAGAATGAGGCATAATTCAGCATCAACTTTATTTCTGTTTTTTATCTTATGAATGTAGATTGAAAAACCTTATTCAAATAAGTAAATTGGTAGGGATGGAAGGAGTTTATCATAGCATTGTCACTGAATTCTTCTCAGATATTTACCAAAATCACAAAAACTTGGCAAGTTGTTTAGATCCTCCTATTTTTTTTGAAAGTAGAAAATTGGAAGCTATCTACAAAGATTTGTTATCAGTCATTATAGTTCAGTTTGACCCCAGTATTTCAGATTGCCCCTTTGAAGGGGGAAGAAGTATGCTTTTATTTATAAAGTGGAAAAACGGTGAGTATAAAAAGGAATGTGGGAACAGGATCAGAAGCAAAGCCCTTTTCCTCCTGCACTGTCTCTTCAGCATCCTCTATGAACAAAGCTTAACATCATGACAACTGTCAGAAGGGAATATATTTAAATGGCCCAAATCCATTTTCACAGAGCTTACAAAAGCAGTGAATTTAGATCTGAGAAGCAATAATTGATTATTGGAACAGTCCATATTTTTGACTACTTGGATTCTGTATACATCTTTCTACACACACTTCAACTGCCGTCCAACGACAGTACAGCTATATTTCTACCCAACAAGATGCAGCTATTCTAACAAAAGAAGAAGTTTCACCTTTTCCCCAGAATGTACAGATGAACAGTCCCAAGAGTCATTTTATTCATCGCTGGCTATATTAATTACTTCATAAATTGTCAGTCATACTGAATATTCTCTTATATAAAGATTAAATTGTAAAGTTGACTGCTATATAAAATAAAAGTGGGAAGGACGGGAAAAAAGAAAATGGTTAGTAGATACAGATAAATATATACATATAACAAGCAAATAGAAAATATGCAAAGCTACTAGTCCTTGTTTCTGTATTTGGTCACAGGCTGTAATTCATAGCTATAGTGTCTTTCTTCCTTATTTTCTCTGTCATCAGCAAGAATCTCACCTGGTTGGGATTCTTTACTTGGTGGTGTGACCCAAACCTACATTTCTCAAGAGTCTGTGTCCTCAATCATCCTGCCTTTTTTGGCTGCTGTAGTTTTCTGGTAACTTTATACTATTGGGCACAGAAGTACTAAGAGATGTATACTCTATACTTGAAATTATCACAGGATTTTCAAGTAGAGGAAGGCTGGTTTGTGGAGGGTAAGCTACTTCTACTGGTACAAGCAGGCTCAGAGTGACATGGGGATTCAAAATAGTTTCATCTGAGTTCAACCAGATATCCCCATTCTAAGTCTCAGAATCCTGTTTTTTAACCAATCAGTGATATAATTTTTGAGAAACTTGACTGAGAATTAATTTAATTTAAAATGTATGTTTGATTTTCAAAAGTAAGAGATTTTTTTCAGGGCTATCATGGGCATGCTCTGGTTCTCATACCGTGCTTCACTTTGAGAGTTAATGGGCCCAAGTCTGTCACTTTCTCTTTGTAAACGTGCAGAAGCGCTCAGAAGGATCCATCCCACATCACAGTTTTTATAGTCATCATTATTGCCATTAGGTCAGGTGCAGCAGCCACCTGGGTTCCCAAGACATGTGCTTTAGTTGGCACTTCATTGTGTTCAACCACAGTGATAGTTTAATTTTGATTCCACTGAAGACCATGGATTGATAGCATCCCTC